GAAGGGTTGACGGGAGAAAGAGGGGGTAGCAATGGAAGGGAGGAAATGAAGTGGAAAAACCGAAAGCTTAGCCGTGGAAGGAATGTTTGCCCGGAAGGGGCTCATCTGGGGAAGGTGGTACCTGCGGGTGTGCGAAGCGCATGATGCGTTGCCAGGAGGAGCCGGCCCAGATGGCCGCTCCACCATGCACCCCTCACAACCCACCATGTACCCCTCACAACCCACCATGCACCCCTCACAACCCACCTGCGGGTGTGCGAAGCGCATGATGCGTTGCCACGAGGAGCCGGCCCAAATGGCCGCACCCTGGCGATGGATGGTGGCGAGGTAGCTCCCCAGCGGCGACCACTGCACGAAGCTCTCCGTCCAAAACTGCAGGGGCAGGGGGGGTGGGGGAAGGAGCAGGGAGGGATGGCGCAGTGATTAGAGGTCAGAGGGAGTGACGGTGGGGCGCCCTGGCTCGTGCAGAGGGAAACGACGGGGCATCGCGACGAGCAGCTGTGGGTGGATAGCGGCGCCCTGGCGATGGATGGTGGCGAGGTAGCTGCCCAGCGGCGACCACTGCACGAAGCTCTCCGTCCAAAACTGCAGGGGGGCGGAGAGGGGAGGAGAGGGGGAGAGGGAGGCGGGAGCGGGTAGGGGGAGGGGGGTTTGGAGGAGGGGTAGTGGGGGGTTGGAGTTGGGTTAGGGGGGGTTGGGGAAAGAGGAGATAGCGTCAATCACCCTCTACTACCATGCTGCTCGATCACCTCTTCCTTACGTGCGCGCGTCTCATCCTCCCCCTGCACACCACCCTCTCTGCGGTTCAACCCCCCCCCCCCCCCTCTGCGCGTCATCCCCCCCAACGCCTCATCCTCCCTCCGTCTGCGCCTCATCACCCCCCCTTGCGCCTCATCCCTCCCCTTGCGGCTCATCTCCTTATTGCGCCTCACACCCTCCCCCCTCCCTTGCAGCAGAAAACAGTGTCGAGCTTTGCAACGCGGGCGTCGTTCCGGTAGACCTTCGTCTCCCACCCCCCCCCCCCCCCTCCCCCTGCTGGTCGTCGCTCGCTCCACTCCCCCTACCGTGCGGCTCTCCCCCTCTCCCTCCCCCTCTTACCGTGCGGCTCCCCCCCTCCCCATCTCCCCCTCTTACCGTGCGGCGGTAGACGGGGTCGGGCTTGGCGGCGCGCGCGTCGTTCCAATAGACCTCCGTCTCCGACGCGAAGCGGATCACAAACTGATCGCGCCCGCGCTCGTCCGCCGCGAACCATTGCAGGTTCTCCTGCGCGCGGGGGGAAAGAGGGGAGGGGGGGAGGTGGGGAAGGAAGGGGGAAAGCGAGGCGACTCAACAACACAGCTCGTCCGCCGCGAACGATTGCGCGGAGGGGTGAGGAGCGGGAGGGAAGAATGGGGGTGGGGAAGGGGGGGAGGCGAGAGGAGAAGAGCTAAACCTCATCCGCCGCCCATTCGCCCGCCCACGGCGGGCGTCAACTCCTTGAGCGGCGGCATGCAGTAGTGGCGAAGATAAGACGGCATTCAGACGAACTCGCCCTTGGCCCTAGTTGCTCCATCCATCCGTCCCACCCAACCACCCACCCATCGCCACACCCACGCACCCCTTCCTCCCCACCCAAACCCACGCACCGAGGGCGTGTACTCCTTAAGCGGCGGCGGCGCGTATTGGTCGGGCACGCGCGCGTACTTCTCGAAGTCGTCGAACATGGAGACCTTAAAGACGTGCGCCTTGTCCAGCTTGTACCCGTCCATCTGCTCCCGCGCCGCTTGCGCCTCCTGTGAGGGGGAGGGGGAGGGGAAAGGGGGCGGGAGAGGGAGGGGAAGGGGGGGAGGGGGAGGCAGGGAGAGAGGTAGGGAATGTGATGGGAGGGGGCACAGCCCAGCATGCCCCAGTCGTTGAACATGGAGACCTTGACATGAACACGTGCGCCTTGTCCAGCTTGTGCCCGTCCATCTGCTCCCGCGCCGCCTGCGCCTCCTGTGGAACGAATGGGGGAGGAAGGGAGAGAGGAGGGGTGGAGAGGGGAGGGGAGGAAAAGGAGAGGAGGAGAGTGGAGGGGAATGTGAGAGCGAGAAGGCGGATAAACAGCCTGTGGCTGTTCATCTGCTCGCACGACGCTTGCGCCTCTCGCGTGGACCAAAGGGGACGACGAAACGATGCAGAAGAAGGAAAGACATGGGGATGGGACGGACGGGGAGACCGGAGAACAGGCGAGAGAGGGACTACGGAAGGAGTAGGACCGTGGGGTTAGAAGGAAAGAGAGTGGAGAGTGGGTGCACAAATGCAGTGGGGAAACGCAAAAGGGAGGCGAAAACGAGACCATTGCTTCTTGGCCAGTACTTTTTTCGTACCTGGGGAGTGGCATACTCGATAAAGGCATATCCGTTTGTCTTCTGCGTCTCCTTATTCACGGGCATCCACAGGCCTCCCTCCCGAATCAGCCCAATCTGCCCGAAAATCTTCTTGGCCACGGTCTGCAGCTTCTCAAACTTTTCGGGCGGCACGACGGGCAGGTTATCGACGACAATGACGTTACCGAAGCCCGTCTCCGACTCCACCACCTCCAGCTCCTCCTCCTCGTCCTCGCTGCGCGCAGGGGGAATAGGAGGGACGGAAAAGAGGGGGGAGGGGGAAGGAGGGGAGGAGGGGGGAAAGGAGGGGGGAAGGGATGGGGGGTTGGGTGGGGGTGGGGGAGATTATGTGAGAACGAACAGAAAAAAAGGATAGGAGAAGGAAATTGAACTCATCTAAGATCTCCTGCGGACATTTTTTCGCCTAATAACGGACACGAGATGGAAATTGGACTCGTCGGCGACTCGGAAAATTCTCCTGCGGACCGAATGGATGGGAGGAAACGTGGAGGCGCAACCAGAAACGATTATGATATTACCCTGATCCTATAGAGAACGGTGCAGATCTTGTAACAGTTCGCGGGCCGCCCAAGTACCTATGCCGTTATGGGAATGCATCGAGCTGGCTGGTCAGCAAGCTAATCGACACGCAGCACTAGCTTACAAACCCTGCGGCGTGATGCTCTAAATTGGAAACCCTGAAAGAACCATGCGATCGCTCGACCTTAATGCTCCGCCTTGTCAGTCTCCTATTTCCCGTATTCTTCCTTGCTTCACCCTCTTCCTCCGCCTTGTCGGGCTGCTATTCCCCGTATTCTCCCTTCCTCCACCCCCTCCTCTCTCTTGTCAGGCTGCTTGCTGCAGAACCAATCGGCATATTGGTCAGCCAGGAGTGCGTGATCGGCCGTGAATGCGAGATCTATCATCACTTCTCACAACCGGATGGAAGTATCAAATCCGATCTTAGTTCTGATTTCTCCACGTGCCAAGTCCGCCTCTATGATTCGTGAGATTTCTCCGAAACCAGCCATTCTACGACCCAGCCCACCTCTTAATGTCGAAATCCTCGCCTTCAGGCAACTGAAGCGCCTCGAGATTAACTTGCGACCAGTCGATGTTCAGATCGAACTTAGGAGGTGTGGGTAACGCCTCCACCTCCACCTCGCTCAAATCGACCTCGCGACCCATAGCGGCCGGCGGTGGCAGAAAGATTCAGGTTACGATTTTAATCGTGCAATCGACGCCTAAGAATTCACTCGAATCGCGCTATCATGAATTAGGCTCCTCGGACGGCCTCGGCGCAAGGCGATCCGTGCTAGGGACTAGGAGTCGCGAGGTCGGTCAGAGACACGGCCTAAGGAGGAGGGCAGGAAAGGAGGTGTGCAGATTTCTGCAGATGGCGGTTGGAGGGGGAGTGGGATGGGGGCAGGCGAAGAGAGGCGAAATAAAAACATGCTTGACGAAATATTAGCTTTTCGTGAACGCGTTTTGGGGATTTGTCAAGAAGCTTATCTGAGGTTATGGACATCCTTCAGAAAGCTCCTTTACAGTGTAGTTGTGGTACAGAGTGTAGTTTGAGTAGAACCGCCCTTCGTGTCAAAAACGATTCTCAATTGTGACGCGGATCACATTCGGTCACACTGTAGGCAGCGCGGTGTGTCGCTAATGGAGTGCCTCTTGCGTGCGATTGCCAACCAACACGTGATGTGAACAGATAATCTTTGAGGGCCACGACACGACCCTGTGCCACCACGAGCTCTCAGGTTTGTGCATCATCCTCAGCCCCATCCGTCCAGCTCAGCATGGTGTCCTCTGGTCCTGCGCTGTGGTGGGCACCCTCAACAGCGATAAACTCGAGATCGGTGTGGACGTGTCGATTTGGGCTTCGGTAGTTTTGAGTTTGTTTCGGTTCGGTGCCTTATCGTAGCTCGGCTTTGACCTTTCTTGTAGTGAATCAAACCTTCTCCTCAAATCTGTCCATGTTTAGATTCGCACGCGCCCCACCCAATCACCCCAGAGGTGTTTGCAGGTACGGTTCAGGTTTGTGTACGGGGAATGCCTGCGTTGCGCTTGGGTTTGTAGACTGTAGTGGGTGCGAGATATTTTATTTTCTGTGACACTTTTGCTCTGGCCCAGTTAGGTCGAAACGAACCGAACTGTTTTCATTCCTCCTCTCCTCCCCCACGACCTTGACAGTGCGGCACGAGTTGCTAGATTTAGCACATCCCACGCTTCCCAACACCAAGCCTACCTTTTCCAACCATGATTAGCGTACCTTCCGCTCATAATCCTCCACTAAGCGCCATCACGTGCACTCTAGACAATCCTCCTTGAAATCCTCTCGCGCCTGCCTCCAAGCCACTTGGCGTGTGTCCAGTGGAGAAAGGCGATCGATTATTCGTTGTACGTATCAATTGCACGGCCAAGAACCGTAATATTCTCAGTCGACGCGGCAGAGGGCTTAGGCTACAACTCTGGCTCCAAGTGACTCCGACCTCGAAGTAGATAAGGCCCTAAGCCGGGCTGGTGCTACTACGAGGAATAAGCATTCATAAGTACTCGTATTGCTATTTATTGGTCGACCGACACGTGTCCTTATTTTCCGAAGCGACTTCAGGCTGGTCTCTTAAGTAGTGCGACGCGCACGCATCCATGGCCGACCGTCTTTTCTCTCCGCAACGTGTCGCTCAGTCTAAGCCGGCCCGCGCGCGTCGCAGCGGCTCGTGGAACGCGTTCCTCTCGTCTCAAAAGTCGTTCCACTCGCCCACTGGCGCAGACGGTCAAGCCGCATCCGCGGTCGCCGCGGCTGCCATCCCTGCCGCAATTCCCGCCGCCGCGACCGCCGCGCCCGCCGCCGGTTCGTCGCAAGCAGAAAGCGCGGATGGCGGCGCAAGACCCGCCGCAGAGCGCGGTCGCGGGGCCTCTCCGTTGCTTCCGCCCTCTCTCAGCGATAGAGCGCAGTCCCCGCATCCGCTTACCTCCAGATCTCCGCTTGGAAACGCCGCCGCCAACGCTCGCGCGTGGTGCGAGCGACGTTACCGCGGATTCCTTCCGTCTCCTGGGGAAACCGCGACAGCGCCGCAGAACGCATCAGCCCGCGCGGCAGGGGCGGGGGGGATCACAGGGGCAGGCGGAGCTGCGCCGTCGAGCTGCAGGGAGGGTAGTAGCGCCGGCGGAAGCGACGACCACCTCGCGGGAGCAAGGGGGAGGCGGAGCAGGCAGGGGGTCAATGCGGCGTCCGCTGGGCTCGCCAGAATTTCCGACTCGAGTCAACCGAGTCAACCAGGTCAACGGGGTCAGCCAGGTCAACCGAGTCAACGATCCCACGCCTCCCCGCGCCCGTCCGCCTGCCCGTCCGAGCGGTCGAGCGCGTGGGGGCCAGGCGGAAGCAGCAGCACGAGCGATTATAGCGAGGGGACGGACGACGAGGATGCGATGTGGGAGGATAGCGACTGGATGTCCGCGGAAGGGGGGGACGGGGGAGAAAACTGCGGAAAGTGGTGGTCTTTCGAGAGATGGGGGACAAAAAAACGCGGAAATACGAATACTGAGGGTAATTACCCCTCCTGGGCTGGTTGGGGCAGGAAAAGTTCTTGGGGAAGCCGAGGACGGGCAGGGGGAGGGGAGAGGGGGGGAGCTGGTGGCGCGGAGATCCCAAGGGGGGAAGTCCAGGTGGTGGTGAGGGGAACAGCGTGTGACAGAAACGAGGGTGCTTTTACCAAAACTGCGAATTTCCGGAATAAGAAACGACAGAAGCAAGGATCGTTTGGCAGCAAGGGCAGAGTGGGGAGGAGAAGAAACGCAGAGGAGGGGGAGGAAGAAGAGAGGGACCGGGGGTTGCTGTGGAAGCTTCTGAGCAAGTGCAGCGTGGAGAAGTGCCTCGAGCTGACTCACTTGGCGCGCTTCCTGTGTCTACTCATGTGGGCGGCTGTGACTGTGGCGGTGGCGTTTGTCGTTTTCTGGGTGACGTATCGGAGCTTCCAGGCAGCGAGGCAGGCGGAGGTGGAGCAGGAGTGTGACAAATGGACGTCGCTGCTGGAGAGCCACTTCAGCCAATCTGCTGACCAGGTGAGAGGTGGGGGGGGGGGGGTGGTGGGGAGGGAATGGCGGGTGGGGACAGCGTTGGGAGCGAGGTGAGGGAAAGGAAGGGACATGGGCGTTAGGCACGGGGCAGCAGGTGACAGGTGGGTGGCGCTGCTGCTGGAACAGCATTTGAGAATGTTTGCGTCCGCTGACCAGGTGAGGGGGAGGAGGGGGAGGAGAAGGTCAGACAGGGCGCTAATACGCCGTGCATCACCATGTGCCTATGTCCATGCGTTTATGTTCCTCGTCGCATCACCATGTGCCCCATACCATCCCATGGGTGCATCACTGATCACCCCATTCCATCCTATCCCATCCCACCCTGTTCCACCGCACTGAACACCACATCACCCCACCAGGTGCGGCTGCTGGGAGCGGTCGTCTCCACCTTCTTCTTCCAAACGCCAAACGCCACTCTCGATCAGGTCAGCCGCCCGCCAGGTCAGCCACCCACCAGGTCAGCCGCCCGTCAGGTCAGCCGCCCGCCAGGTTAGCCGCCCGCCAGGTGAGCCGCCCACCAGGTCAGCCATCCAGCAGGTGAGGGGCTCTCTGGACTTTGCTCGACCACTGCAGTGAAGTCGCCATCTTCCTTCCCTCCACCGTCTTACCACCAACTCTTCTTCTCTTCCACCTCCCCTCCCTTTCCGCCTCCCCCCCGCTTCTCCCCCCCAACCCCCTATTCATCCCGTCAACCCACTTTCGCCTTGCAGGTGAATACGACAGGTTCGATGCACTTAAAGCCCCATCGCCCTTCCCTTTTCAACCTTCCCACTTCCTTCCACCCCTTCCCCCCCAACCCCCCCTCATCTCTGCCCCTCACATCGCTTCCATCCATCCAACCAGCCCACTTTCTCCTCGCTCGTGAATGCGACGGACTATGCCCGCCCGCTGCTGTTTGCCGCCTCCTTTGCCCTGCGGGTGACTCTGGCTGAGCGACCGGCGTTTGAGAAGCAGCAGCAGCAGCTGGGGAACTCCGGGTATTGCATCAGGTACGATTGGTGTCATCTCAACAAAACAGCAGCAGCAGCAGCAGCAGCACTGCTGCTGCAGCAGCTGCATCAGGTACGTT